TAAGAAAGATTAAATTTTAAGTATTATAAACTTACCTAGGTTTATTGATGGAGGTCCAGTGTGAGATAGAGAGGGACAGAGAGAAAGGGAGACACATGGGGTGGGAAGGAGGAACTGAGGGAGGAAGAGAGAGAATTATGAGTACGTTTGTATAAATCTGACAATATATACATGTAGTGTACATAACATCGTGAACTAATGTGTCTTAAGGAGAGTTGGAGGCATGATTATGAAAGTACATGTACATTCATTTATGGAGTTTGAATAAAATAAAATAGTGAAGGTTTCCATATAAGAGTTTGAATAAGAGTGGGTATGGGTAAAAAAATTACCAGTAGTGGTAAAAATGGCTAGTACATGTACTATGTAGCTGAAGCAGCAAGTGTAGTTTGTTTGTGTGCATACTTAAACTGAGTAAAGAAATATGGACTCTTCAAATGCACTACATCAACATGTACAAGAATATAAACATGACACTCTGAGCAATAAATATAAGTCTACATGTCATGCAGATACAACATGAAAACTGCATCTTTATATAACCAGTCAACCTGAAACGAGTTTGCAGGTCTAAACTATGTATATGCATGTACATGTATAAAAGGTTTTACTATATGAAGGGACATAGTGGAGGCAGGGGCGTAGCTGGACCTTGGGTGACGGTAAGGCAAGGAGACAAAATGGCGCGCGAAGCGTGCCGCGATTTTGGCCACACCCCTTTTACGTAACAAAATGGAGGCATTTTCCTGCAAGCTGAGCGAAATCAGAGTGAAATTATCATTGTATATAGCTTTAAAAAGAGCTATGGTTATCAGCCACCCCCTTTTGCTATTGTAAGAACAATGAATATAATCTTTTGGGTTATAATTTCAATGAATATAATTATAAGGGCACTTTGATGGTAGGGCCCAGGCCCCCTCAGGCCCTACCTCAGCTACACTCTTGAGTGGAGGGAGTTAAATTTGGTGAATTGCTAAATTTTGGTGGTTGGTGGATTTTTATTTTGGCGTATGGCTATCAAAATGCCAAATTTAATTCCTCCAAATTTCCAAAATTTCCTGCTATATGATATGTTTTGAAGAATTAATGCAACATTGATTAAAAATTGTTTGTAATTGTGTAAATAAATCTACTTTAAAAGGTACACATTATCATACTTAAACTTATACTTAAGTACTATTATTAAAAGCATGTGAATGTACTTATACACATATTTTGTAAATATACTTGGACTTTACTTCAGCACTAAGGGCTTTTATTAAATAAACACCAAACATTAAAGGATACAAAATGTAGAATAAAATAAGCAAGCAAGCAGTTTACCATACACATACCTGTAGTATAGCTGTAGAAACAGTCATTAAGATGTATCCACATGCTGCTGCTGGACAGGAGTACAATCTTATTTTATTGACCATTTGCTTGAAATAAGCTCCTCACTTCTTCCCATTTCATATCCACCATTTTATTTCACTGTGGCAACTGTGGCAATACCTGCTAATTAATAAGCAATATAAATAATGAATATTTTTGCTCTAATAAAGATCCCTTGCTAAGGCCACTCCAATCATAGTATCCCTGGGCAGGCGGTTTGTTTATTACCATTATTAATTTATTTATTATCACTTGTGTATAAACTATGTCAATGTCCAACTGCAATACTGTAGTTTGGGATATACCTGTAGATCTAT